GATCTTCCAACTCCATTCAACTTGTTTGGCCGGTTTCCATAAACGGATTGGTGACAATTCATTTTCTACAGTTGCTGCCCGACTTAGGAATGGTCTGCCCAATTTTCTGATCCTGAGATCGCTTAGGCAGTTCAAAGTCCATCTAAAACACACCTATTTCAATAGTTTCCTCTCACCTTTCTTAAGATCTTATTTGTTTATTGTTTTGTTCGTTTCTTAATTTCTGTCGAACCTATTTGCTTCGAGTTACTGCCTTAGTGCATTTTACTGTAAGTTTGCACACTTTCCTCGGGTTTGATTCTACAAGCTTTACTCATGGGGATTTTGTTAACTTTTATCGAGTGGATACATCGCTTTGAATGTCAGTTTCTTCAGTCAGTCGTATATACGTAGGCTTAATGCCACTACAAATATGCCTTTTCGAAAACCTTATTCTAAAGCAATTGAAATATTATGTCGGCACGGAAGTCTTTTTTTTTAGTTCAACAAACTACACCCCCACCTTCCCGGTTAAAGCCATCTATTGCTACCTGCGTTCGTACTTACTCGTTTAGGATATAAGAGAACTTAAATATAGAAAATCATTTAAATCATTCAATTGGTTGTTGCCGCCAAATTGATATAGCCTCGATGATCTATCATGTGATTTTGGGCTTTGGGACCCGATTAAAATTGTAATACGCCTACAATTTCGATGGTTACATGTTGAGAATACGTACTGGCATATTGTAATACACACTCTCTTGATGTACAGTATGAGATGTTTCATTAACATAACCTACACTGAAAACTACATCGCCAACGAATTGGGTGGGCAGTGGCAGATCCAGGAATTTGAAATAGAGGGGGTCCAAAGAGGGATGGAGGATCGATACTACCTCAGCTCCACCATGCTTGGGTCTGAGGTAAGAAAACTTTTGACTATGGCACCTCTAGATGGCCAGAAATGACATTCTTAGACTTAAATTTGAATATAAGTTTCTTTTTTTCTCATTTTTTTTATTATGGAAAAATTTAGGGGGGTGGGCGGGCCGGCTGCCCCCCCCCCCTTTTGAATATCCGCCTATGGTGGGTATTCAAACTTTTTCGACATGGTGAACCTATTTCGATTAAAATGTTAAAGTGATTAGATAAGTCACTGTCAATAAAACAATTCGCGGAAGAGGAGTATTCAAAATATTGGTAATATTAATATAGGACTAATCAGATGGCTGACGCCGTTCTCCATCGACAATTGATTGTATGTGCATTATTTATCTACAATGCTTATGTATATACACTAAAGAATCTTTACACTCACAGTTTCATCTGAAAAAAAGTTACCTACAACGACGGAGTGACAGTGTTTCACGGCTGTGGGAAAAACAAATTATCAGCCTGCTGCTCTCTGTTTAAATAGTGATCGTATCTGAACAATAATGATGCATCAACAGGCTTTGTCAACTTGTAAAAATTCAGAGCCTCCTGTTGTTTGCCCATAGATCAAATTTGGGAGTGGTATACACTACGATTTAAAAACATTGTCATCGTAATGAAACAGCTATAATATTGAAAACAAACAACTTGAAACAAAATCGGTGTACGAATTCAAATAAATATTTACAATACATTTTTACATGCATTTGTGAGTGAGTGTGTAATAGACATGCAAAACAAACATTAGCGATTAGCTGTATAATAGCTTTGAATATCATTTCAACAGTTTCTAATAATAGTCCGTATCTCATATAATTGCCATAAACCCGGTTTCGTACACACTCGCTGATGTAAATTTCAAAGGAAACGGTTTTCCCCATTTTTCTTATTGTTAAAATACTCCATGCAATGCTGTAGGTCCCTAGTATAAAATTGACAGATCAATTACACTCTGCAAAGATCGGTTACTGTACTCCCGTGAATAAGCGCCCGGGCGCTTAAAATATTTTTTGCACTTTCTGAGGGGCGCTTATTCGAACGGGGTGCTTATGAAAACAGAGTGGAAATTGATTGGGCGCTTATGGAAATAGATGATAATCGAGGGGTTCTTATGGGAAACTATTAAATTCAAGAGGCACTTTTTGATAAAATAAAGATTATTTAAGGACATTACGAATGGTGGTTAGGCGGAAAAGATAATCGTCCAGAGAACATAGCTCATGACAAGAATGCTGTGAATATTTACATAACTGCAAAATAGCAGATGCAATTAGTGGTGGTGGGTATTGGTTAGCTTGTTGGCCATCGGCCGAATGAAATTAGCAGGATGGCAATATCATTGTTTTTTTTCTTGAAAACTCAGATGAGAATGTGCTAAAGGTCGGAAAAAGAAAGAGGAGTAGGACTATGCATAGACAAATATGTAAATAGAGTAAAGTTGGAAATATATGTCCAGGGATCGGAGCTCTCATCTGTCCAAGAGAAATATCCTCATTTTGATATTGACCTAAGAAGAATGTGTTTCTACACTGCAGCTCAAATCATGCCAACAACCAGTCTCAGGATTGATTGGATTATTGACTTGCTAAAAAGAAAATCCTATGATGTTAGGGGCGCTTATTCAAACGGGGCGCTTAAGGAAATTTTCACGTTAGAAGGGCCGGGGGGGGGGGTTATTCAAACGGGGCGCTTATTCGCGCGAGTATGGTATGCCCTTTTATATAATATTATAGGCCTATAGGCCTAATGTGTGTGAAGTAGTGATTTGTTAATATCGAATGGGTGAAATTGCGCATAAACTGCACACTCTTAGCTTATAAATAACATACAATGCTGGAGGAAAGGATATCACGATTTAGTCACCAAAAAGGATTTTCCACGGACGCACAGAGTAGGCTTTCTAATAGTACACCCTTCGAAAAATTACTCGCACCCCCCTTGACGCCCCACTTCCCCCTCCTTCAAATCACGGTCAAGTTGTTATAAAAAGCACCTAAAATCACCTTATTTGGCAAGTTAGCGACACCTCAACTGATCATCGAGTCCCCTACTTACCTTTGCGCCCCCACTCCCATCACCACCACTCCCATCACCACCACCCCCACTTTAAGACTCCTGATACGCCACTGTGCCCTACACACAGAATCTGCCTCCGCCCCTCAAAGCGAACAAGTTTCTGGTCTCGAAAATCCAGACACTTCGTTAGGCCTATACCGTACAGTACAAAATACTGTACAGATATAATTCAATGAAAAAGCTTAAAAAATGGATTTTTAAATGAAGGATTTTAAAAGAAATCTTTTAGACTCAATCTTTCGGAATTTTGATTTTTCCCAGTCGTCACTCTGCCGACGATCTTCCTTGTGTCCAATAACTTGTCATATATAGTAAGCCTTGCCCCCTTCTGGTACCACCACACCATTGAGTTTTATTGTTTCAAAATAATAGCCCAAGTAATAACACTCAGTATAATATTAATGTTATAAAGCACATAGGCCTACAATTCAGAAACATGACATTAATAATAATAATAATAGTGTAGTTTTATATAGCACACAATTATCCATCTAATGTAAGATGCTCAGGGCGCTTGTTACTCCCCCCCCCCACCCCCAACCATAACCATCCAGACCTGGTTTTGATTGTCTCAAAATGAGTTTCTATTTAATTTAGAATAGTAAATTAATTTGTAATAATGGTATTACATTTCAGTTCCTGCTGATGCTGGATTTGTAAAAAAAATCAGGAGGTGGATTTATCTGTTTTTGATGCAAAACAAAATCAATATCACCAAATTGTCTTTCTTAATTAAAGTTTACATTTTTAAAATTTTAAGAGTATGATCCTACATATACATCAATACCTGATTTTTTAAAGTTCCTTGATCTTTAAAAGAAGGCTAATTAAAAATACGTAATTATCTCAAAACAAAAAAAATGGATTTATCTGTTTTTGCATATGAGCTCTTCAAGTATAAATGATGGGCGTTTAAAAGACTAACGCCTTATTCCAGAGCCCGAAGACACAAGTAAGAATAAGATTTAATAATTGTTAATGTTAGCCATCATAATTAATGTAATGTTAACCAATGTGTACGTAAAAATTCATTTTATCTATATTATATATTGCATAAATATGAAATGTTTTTTAATGCAAGAAGTTATAATTTATTATAAATATTGTGTAATAATTAAAATAACGTAATAATTGAATATGTATTTTTAGTTTTAGTATTAGTATTTTTAATATTAGAATTTTTAATTGTTTATATAGCACAATAAGCTAAGATACAGGAGGATCAAGATGTTTTAAAGAACATTCATCAAACAAACAAAGCTATGAATTGAAAGACCTGATTGAAGCACGAACTCCTGAATTATGATTTTATTTTACATGTTTCCCTAATTAGGCACAAATTAGGCGGTTGGGGAGGGCTGGCATGAGTCCCCTAACTCCTTGAAAATAAAAAAAAATAGAGAAAAAATATATTTCAAAATTTAAATGTGAGAGTTCCATTTAAAGTTATCTAGAGGGTCAGATGTTTGTAATTATTGAATGGAAAGAACGCAGAGACATTCACATTAATCTACTATTATGACTGTAGAAAATACATACATCGTTGTGTCTCCCAGACGAATTGTGTTTTTCTCCTCGACGGGCCCCTGGCCCTCACCCCCAGCACCACAGTAGAAATATAATTAAGGTCGAAATCTGTCTCTTATACACACCATGGTATGTTGAGCGCTCACATATGAGGATGTCCAGGGCGGATCCAGTATTTCAAAGAGGGGATTACAAATGCTTAAGGAAAACTCTAAAAGAAAGGGGGTGGGAGTCCTCTCCCCGGGATGATTTTGATTCATAGATGGCGGGAAATTAGTTTTCCCAACTCTGTGAGATGTGGTGTCTCTTTAAATGACCTTTAAGTTCTTCAAAATGCAAGGTTTTCCCCCTTCTTGAAAACGGTACAAGACATTCAAATTGATCGTGTCTACTCTCAGTATCTCGTAATCAAATACCATTTTGGCAAATACAAATGTAAAGTTTTAATTTGATTATATATTTTTTATTTGTTTGGTCTTCAGATATTCGGGAAAGTGAATAGGTCTACTATGGCAGCTAATAATAGTAATACACGTGTGGTAGCATCATCTCCTACCTGTTCAAAATGTGGGGTAAAGCATAACTGTGTGCATCCGTACTGCCTACACTGTCTTCAAAAAATGTCTGTCTATGGTAAAAACATCAATTGTAATTTATGTAGGCAGGACTCTAAGGAGTCAACGTCGAAGCAACCCACGCCTTTTGAACCTTACATTCTTGATACAAGTAACATTGCGGACCATGTATTGATTGAAGAGGAATTTGTTGTAAACTTAACAACAAAAAATCACTCCAGTACAGATGAGCATGACAGACATTTAAAAATAACTGGTAGCTTAACCTTTACACCACTTCAAGGGTATGAGAAAGAAGTCACTGTGAAAGATCATCAAGATGGGACATATGCTTTGTCTGGTTGCTGTGATAAAGAGGGTGAATGGGAGCTGCGATGTTATGTAAATGGTAAGCAAATCAGCCAGACACCTTTGAAAGTAAAAGTAGTCAAGGAAGGCTTGCAGGAACGTCCTAATATATTCAGGAAAAAAAAGGACACCAGTTTACATATGTTTGATATTGTTGATGATACAGTTTATGCTTGTGGAGGCGTTAATGAAATTACGAAGTTCACGCTAGAAGGAAAAATTATAGGTACAATTTTTGGCCATAGGTTATGGCAGTTCACAAGTTTATGCTGCGTGAATATTGAGGGGGATTTGTTGATTGTATGCTATGATAAATATATGAAAAGACTTATGTTTTATCAAAATGAGAACTGGGATGAAGGCGATGGCGGTAAGATCGGGTCTGTCTATGGCAAAATAATGGCACATGATGATAAGATCTATGTTCCTGATTGTTGGAAAAATTGTGTTTTGTGTTTTTCCAGGGAAGGTAAACTGCTAGATGAAATTCAAGGGACAGGAGATTATATGAATGTGAAATTATCAATGCCATATGGTGTGGCTATAACAAAAAAGGGGGATATTTTAGTCCTATCATATGGATGTAACCAGGTGGCAAAGATTAATTACAAGGATAAAAAGGCTGCAGTTTTGATTAAAAACAGTCCAAGTGGTAGGCCTGGGCCTAAATTGTTAAATTACACTTATGCTATTGCCGTTGATGAATGCGATCAGATCATAATTGGTTGCTACAGAAAACTACTGCTGTTTAATCAAGATGGAATTTTTATTAAGAACATCGACAATGAGAATGTCCCATATTATCCTTACAGCATATTTTGCAGAAATAGATGCATTTGGGTTGCAGATAATAAGAATTCTTCGCTTCGGTTTTACTATTATTGAAACATTGTTTAAAATATATGTCTGTGTTGGAAGTCAGTGTTCAGATAAATATAAAGGTGCTCACATAAAGTATAAAACATCAGCTTCTAATGTGACAGATCAATACTTCACAGATTTACAGGCTTCACTATGAACACATGTGTATTTAGCTATGCTATGTTGCTTAGACCATGACTAACTATTATTGAAAGTTTCATTCTGATAGTAGCATCATTTTTGTGATATTAAGGTCCAAAAAATATGACAAGTATGGGTTTCAAAGGCTTATTTAATCGATTTTGGAGTCTACTATTATGACTGTAGAAAATACATACATCGTTGTGTCTCCCAGACGAATTGTGTTTTTCTCCTCGACGGGCCCCTGGCCCTCACCCCCAGCACCACAGTAGAAATATAATTAAGGTCGAAATAGATCAACCACGATTTTATTACCAATTAATATTCGTCAAGGCCAAAAATTAACATTTTATCCAGCATTTACAGTTGAAATATCTAGAACTATCAATATAATTTGTGACAAGGAAGACAGTACAGCAATTATCATTATGTAACAATGTATTCTAGAATGAATTGATTAATTTGATTGAGCTCTAATGTACATAAACCTTTATTAATTTAATGTGTAGAATAAAAAATGTTACTTTTAGCATGATAACAATGTACGTTTTCTAGAACGAAATGACACATTAAATGTGCATTTAAATAATTTTAAAAGGACTTTTAAAAAATGTTACTTTATATAACAGTGGATTGTTGTTAGAACAAATTATGTTTTTATGTAAATAAACGGTAACCGCAGAAAAGATATTAATAGAATGTGTAAAATAACAAAAAAGCAGGTTTAGAAAAATGTTACTTTATGATAACATAACAGCGTAGCCTTTGTTAATTTAATGTGTAAAATAACTAGAGAAAAAAAATGTTACTTTTATCATGATACCAATGTACGTTTTCTAGAACGAATTGACACATTAAATGCGCATTCAAATAAACAGTCCAGTTACAGAATGTGTAAAATAAAAAGTAAAGCCAAAGAATAATGTTTCTTTTTAGTAAGAATATCAAATGTATATGAATTGCTACTCCTGTTAAAATAATGAATTGCTGCTGTTAGTACTGTACAATGTAATAAATATTATTCATTTGCTAATGAAAGCATTAGTACTGCATTGGTATTGTAGCTGCCGACCACCAAGTTCTTAAAAGTAAATAAAGGGTACCAACCGCAGAAATTTGATATTAATTGAATGGTTGTGTAAAATAACTTAAAAAGGAGTTTTAAAGAATGTTTACTTTAGCATAACAGTGTATTTATTTTTTAAACAAATTTATATATTTGTTTTTATGTAAATAAACGGTAACCGCAGAAATGATATAAATAGAATGTGTAAAATAACAAAAAAAAAAAGCAGGTTTAGAAAAATGTTACTTCATGATAACATAAGTGTATTTTTTTTTAAATTTATACATCTGTTCTTATGTAAATAAACAGCGCAAATCGCAGAATTTTCCATAAATTGAATGTATAAAATAACTAAAAATAGAACAGCATGATATCAATTTACTTGTTTCTAGATTGAATTGACGCATTTAATTGTTGAATATGTAATATTTATATATATATATACTGTATATATATATATATATAATATATATATAATACATATATGTAACTTTTTGCCATGAATAACAATTGTAGTGTTTCTAGAACGAATTTATACACTTGCTACATGAATAAATTCCTGCTGTAGTATAATGTTACAAATATTTTAATCATTTGCTAATGAAAGCATTAATAAAGATGTAAGAAACAGTAATGATTAAAGTGTAACGTAAAAAAATAGATTAAGCAGTAACTTTATTATTATGGGATGGTGGATTAAGGATTTAAATTGATTTCGTTATTTGTTTCTAAATTTAGTAGTTAATTTAAAACTAATAAGACGGTTACGTTGATAGGCTTTTCAGCAAGAATTTCATCACTAATACCAATCCTAGCCAGCTTAAAGAATAAGATCCGTTTGTTTTGTATTTAGTTGTTGTTTTTAATGTATATTTAGCTTAATAAAAAAAAAAAAAAAAAAAACAGAGAATGAACGAACGTTAGTAATTTTAGTACCTTTTGAGCAAGACTGCCTATCACTATACCAATCCTAGCCAGCTTAAGCTATTTGATCTTTTGTCACTTATAATTATTAATGTTTTAGCTGAAGAAAGAATGAATAAGGAAAAAACGAACGGTAGCAGTACATTTCACTTCACTGTACTGTATAAATAATTACATATTTTTTTCCAATATGATTGTTTAATTATTGTTCATAAATTAGTAGTATAAAACAATTTTATATCCATTATCCTATAGGAATATATGCTACGGAGCGTAAATAAATATGGTTCATACCGTATCCAGTGAAAAATATTATATATTTATATAATATAACAGCAACAACAACAATATTCTTCTACGTCGTAGGGCTGAGTAACAATACTCTTCTACATCGTAGGACCGAGTCCAAAACCTGTTCAGCACTAAACATTAAACTTAGGTGTTCGTTAAGTATTTATTTTTATTGTGTAATGACTTTGGATTGCCTAAATCCTATGTTTAAAATAAATGTATACTTGAAGTAGTAAATATAGAAAATAGTAAGATGAGAAAGAAATATACTGATTAAGCAGTAACATTTATTATCATGGATGGTGTTTCATGGCTTTAATATTATTCCTTTATTTGTTTATCGAGTTAATTTAAGCTACAGTAAGAAGCAATTTGATCTTTTTGTCATTTGGGTATTATTGTATGTAGGCCTATCTGAATAAAGAATTAATAAACGAACGATAGCGGTACCTGCCACTTTATTGTATAAATATTTGTAGAAGACTTTTTTTCAATATGCTAATTAATTAATTAATAATTAATTATTAAGGACACCAGGAAACAAAACAGCCAGATGGAAACGCAATGCATAAAAAAGCTCTAAACTAGATATGAACACTCAAATGTTAAAAGGGCAGTAAATCGGTCAAAAAAGAATAAAAGAAAGTTTTAACATGATGAGGTAATAAATAAAAACCCCCAAGCAAGTGAAATGCCCGAAGCTGTGAAAATATTTCAAATAGGCCTTTCATTTAACTC